TCCCTACAGGTATCTCACCCACATCTGCCTTAACCAGCCCAGGGTCAGGAAACAAGCCCGGTTTCTTCATCACATGTTTGCTGCTCCATGTGGCTTCCTCAAGTCTCCTTCTGGCTCTCCATCCAGCATCCTTCTCTTCTCTTCTCTTCTCTCCTTTTTCTCTGCTCAGCTCCACCCTCCTTCTGGGTGGGGCAGAGAACCTAGAACTTCCCTTTTTCCTAGGGACCACCCTGTTACAAAGACTTTGTCGCACAAGCTGCAGCTCAATCTCAGACGAAAACCAATCGTGCAACGAACCAGAGGCACCCGGACTGGGTGCAAGCGTGGCCATGGAGCAAACTGCGGATAGCACCGAGCTGGACTGCGGAGAGAGGGACCGGACAAGGCGAAGTTACTAGCAGCAGAAACGCGGTAGCAGCAGGGTGGCTGGGGGAGCCGCCGATAGGCTGTTTGTGCTGCCAGTCGGATGGTGACCCGGCGCCCAGAATCAATTCCAGGGGCTGGTGGGCGGAGGCCTGGGATCCGCTTCCTTCCGCAGATCCCGGCGGCGAGGGGGACACGCACGACTCAGAGACCCCAAAACTCGCCCCAGACTCAGCCTCCACGCTGGTGGGCTCTGGGCCCCTCGGTCCTTAGGAGCAGGGCAGGCAGGACCCGGGAACAGCCCACCGCTCCCCTTTCCGCCGAGTAATGTCATGCAGCCCCTGTGGGCTCTACCCCAGGCTGCAATTCCCTAAAATATGGACAAGGCTGGCCGCCACGTACTAAACGGCGGGGCTTGCCGGGCTCCCGTCCCTCGACCTGATTGTGCCCAGGTGTGCTCTCACCTGCGCCGCCCACCGGCTCGCAGGTCCAGCTCGCATGCCCAGTTTCTGTCTGCATAAATAAATAAATCTATAAAGATTTATTTATATGTTGAGAACTTTGGACAACCACGTGCAAAAAACAAAAAACTAGATCCTTCTTAGTCCATACACAAATGTAATAATAATTTAAAAAAAGGTCAAATATTTACATATAGAACTTGAAAACATAAACAACTTAAAAGAAAACGTAGATGATACACTCTTGGACCTCACCGCAGAAATGTATTTGGGAATAACCCCACTGGCAAGGGAAATGAGATTAAAAAAAAAAAAAATTGCTCTCTGTTAGATGAGTTGCAAGGACAGAATGCAAGGAAAGCAGGGGAGTACAGGGGCGCTCTAGAGTTACCTAGAGTTATGGAAAAGAGGAAAGCGCTCCGGGCCAGGTTTGTAGTCCTCAGAGCGGGCAAAATGGCGCCCAGGTCACAGGTTAGGGATGTTTTATAGGAAGGGAATGGGAAAGAACTGGGACTGACAGTGTTCCTAGAATCTGGGACTGAGTTGTTTTTCATCCTCCGGGATCCATATCAGAACCACCACCTGGTGCTGCCCCTCATCCGGGTCCCAGATACAGCAGTGGGGCATCGCTTCTGGAGCGCCAGAGGATCTGATATATCTCCTTTTATGGAAGGGCTCGGGGACTCCAGCTGGACCTAACAGGTTCCATCAGGGTAAACAGCTTTTGTGCCTTAGAAGAAACCACCAAACAAGTCAGCAGCCTGGGGACTGGGAGAAGGTATTTGTACATCACTGTTGTGCCAGATTCTGAGTTTCCCAAAGACCACCAGGGAGCCGATTCCGATGCAAAGCACACGAGGGTCTTTATTGCAAGCTCGAGCCTGGGCTCCCAACATGCAGTGACACAGCTGTGGAAGTTGAGAGCCCTGAGCCAAGGGAAGGCAGGGTTTTTATTACAGAAGAGGGGAGTTTCAGCTCAACAGAGGGGAGTTTCAGCTCAGCAGAGGGGAGTTTCAGCTCAGCAGTACACTGAACAAAGTTATTTTGTTTTAACCTGGTAAGATGTGACCTTCATTCACTACTTGGCCTCATACCTTAGGACATCTGGTGCTTTCCTGATATATACTGGTTACTTGCTTACTTGCTAATTGGCTGTTGCTATGGGATGAGCAACATTAGGACATTTACAGTTAAATCCGGCCTTGGCGCCTTGTTGATAACTGAAACCTAGGCCTGTCTGGTTCAGAAGCATTCTGAAACCTGTCATGGCATCAGTTTGGTCTTTCAATAACACATCCAACAGGGCTAATTTCCAAACATACAGAGAACTCACACGACACAACATCAAACAAGATGTTGGGCCCACACAGCGCCACGTGTGTTTAGTTTTCAAAGTGCATCAGTGTATAGATCATTTATATAGCTACGTAATTTGGGGCACCTCCTTGTGCCTCCATATGTACACAGGCTTCACTCAGCTGCCCCCAAACCTCCAGTGCTGGTGTCCTTCCCTGTTCTTCCCCCCGATTATCCCTGGTGCCCACAATATTTTTTAGAGTCTAAGAATTATATTTGCTGAACCCTGCCAGTTTGTGTGCTGGGGCTGCTCATAGCCCACAGGAAAAAACCTATACAGAGGCTATCTGAGGACACTTAACAGGCCAGGAGCATGAACACAGGCTCAGCACCACTCAGGAGTAGGAAATGCAGGTGAACACCACAGAGACCGTCTCACCCTGCGGGAATAATCAACAACACTGGCAAGGCTGCAGGAAAGGACACTTGGCCCTGTAGGTGGGGATGCGATGTAGTACAGCCCGTGTGGGAAATGGAATGGAGACCTCTGGGGGAATGCAAGGGCCCTGTGCCCCTGATGGGGGAAAGAACAGAAAACCTGAAGGAGCCATCACAAGATGAAAACTGGACTCACACAGGAGGTGGGCAGAAGGGGTCCACAGGACTATTCACCCAGTCATGGAAGTCAAGACCCTCTGTGCCTTATCACAGGGCATAAGCAGGCATCCGACTGCTGGATCAGCCTGCTGTAGGGAGTGTTGGAAGCACAGACCTGAGGGTAAAGATGACAGAGATTGGGCCCATTGTGAAACCTGGTCCCTTTAGGATTCCACATAGTTACCCAAAATCAGCAACCAACAGGCCACTCCAGAAGGAGTGAGCCCCTCCCAGGAAGAAAAGGACTCTATCAGAACAGTGTCTGACCTGGCCTGAGGCAACGGCCTCCTGCCTGCCCGTAACCTGCCCCGCCAGGACTTCTACTCACCTCCCTCATTGGAGGCCTCTCTCTGGAGGCTGCCCACCTGCACCACGCAGCCTCGCTAGCAAACCTGTCCCTTTGGGGCGGCTCCACCTGCCCAGTTGTGCCTACACAAATGGCCCGTGCTCCTCTGTCCTTTTCCCCAAGAATCCTGCTCTTTAAATATAAAGAACCGGTCTCAGGAGAAACTTGCCTGCGGATTTGCCATGTGCCGCTAAAAGGGGAGCACTGGGAAACCTTTCCAGAGTCAACCCAAGGACCCTGCATAAACTCTAAAAATGACATCGACCCAGCAACAGCACTGCTAGTCTTCACCCAAAGAAAACGTGAACACTGACTCAGGAAGATGGACGCGGCCAGTGTTCACAGTGCCGTTACTCACAGTCGCAAGGACACGGAGCCAAACTAGTGCCCAGCGACTGAAGAGATAAAGAAAGTGTGGAATATATGCTCAAGGGAATACGACTCAGCAGTCTGAAAAGATGACATGCCTTATGGGACAACATGGAGGGTCTTGAGGGGATTGTGCTGTATGAATTTAGTCTGAAAGTTGAACACAGGCAACCAGATGGGCTCACTCACCTGTGGGCTATGAGCAGCCCACAGAACATAAACAGGCAGGTTCAGCAAATATAATTCTTACACTCTAAAAAATATTGTGGGCACCAGGGAGACTGGGGGCGAAGAACGGGGAAGGACACCAGCACTGGAAGTTTGGGGGCAGCTGAGTGAAGCCTGTGTACATATGGAGGCACAAGGAGGTGCCCCAAATTACGTAGCTATATAAATGATCTACACACTGATGCACTTTGGAAACTAAACACACGTGGCGCTGTGTGGGCCCAGGCAGCGTCCTGCCTTCAGAGGGCTCATGAAGGCAAAATACTTAGCACTCTCCCTGAAAACCAGGTCTACTGAGAAACTGCAGTGTACAAGTGGGAGCATCTCTCGTTAGAAACTTTTGAGCTAATAAAGGAAGGACTCGGGAACTGAGACTGCAGCTCCTTCGCCACCTCTCATGAGCTAACATCAAAATAATAGAAACAGGGGCCTCCCTGGTGGCACAAGGGGTTAACAACACTCTGGAGCTTCCTGCAGCCCCTGCAGCAGGTGACCTATCCCCAGGCAGGGAGCTGTCCCAGAGGGCACACAAACCTGTCCTGTCCAGCCCGATGTTCCCCTCAGCAGTGTACTTCGTCAATCTGCCTATTCTGTTCCGCACTGTCGCTGGTGAATCCTCTTACTCCCTCAAACCTCTGGCTACACCCCAGTACTTGTTTGCATACATAAAGTGTTTAAAATTAGAAAATAAAATTAAATGAAAAGAACTGGAGGGAACATCTGAAAAGAGGACTACAATGGTATCAATCTCAAGAGAAATCTTGCACAATGTTTTCATCTTAATTACAAGCAGTGCTGCTGATTCAAATAAAAGCACAAAAAAAAAAAAATAAATAAAACCCCGCAAGAGTATGATGTTTATACATAAAACAACTGGGTACAAATGACATTTGACAGCAAAATACTTGAATGCTCGGCGTGAATGACATCAACCCTGAATCACAATTTGATGTATATTGACATATACAAAACTGAAAAGATGTACAGATGAATTCTTTGCCAATGTCCTTCTTGTTCAACTGTGAACCTAGGTAAGGGGAACAGAACCCTCATCCTTCTCTTCTTTCCAAACAGGTCTTGCTGCCTCCTGGGTTCCTTCAAATGTTAGTGGGGGAGGGTGTTCCCTCCCCCCACTCCTCCCCTACAACCCCAGTGCTCTCTGTCATCAAAGTTGAACCTGGGTGGGTTAGGTCATTTCTGCCCAAGAAGAGTGCCAAGTCTGTGTGCCTCCCAAAGTGAATAAGCACTGAGGCCTCCTCATCTGTCTGCAGAAATCTCACTGATGAGGGGGAGGTGCCAGGGCTGTGGGTGTTCCTCTATCTCTGTGCTCACTTATTCTCTCTGCAGCTCAGTCCAAGCACAGGCCCGAGGCCAAATCATCCCAGAAGCAACCTGGTCCCTAACTCCATGGTGAGGCTGTTACAGGGCAGGGGGAAGAGCACCCCAGACACCCCGAAACCTGCCTGTGAATGCCTCTGCCTTCCACCTCATCAACACAAAACATACTCTGGTGTAGTCAATGGAGAAGAACTTGAATACAATTACTGTATTAGAGAAAAGAGAAAGAAAAATTTGCAAATCAAACACCCAAAATTACTCATCTCCTCTGGGTAAATGATCAGACAAAGTGGTTGCCCTAACCAGGATGGCTGAGGCCCAAAATCTTGCCCCACGTCTAAGGCACCTTCTGGTGTGGAACCATGGGAAAGGGGTACATGGGGCCAGGCGAGTCTTCAAGGAAAGGTTAAAAATTTAAAACCAAAATCAAGATCAAAGCTGCCATCATCAGCTTCCCCACCATCTCTCACACGCATCCCTATCTCTACTTTCTCCTTCTAGGTCCCCCAACTCTGGTACAAGTCCCAGGCCAAGAAGCAAGTGCAGCTTCCTCACAGGTCTCTGCTCCGTGTGCCCCCCAATCCTCCTCATGTGCCCCTTCCTCCTTCTCTCAGGCTTCTCTGCTTCCCTTCCCTGCTCAACTCCACCTTTCTTTGGGGTGCTGCATGGAATCCTGTGAATTACCCTGTCACAAGTTCACCCCAATGCACTGTCCCCTTCTCCTCCCCACATCAGCTCTGCTCTACCACGTGACCGCACCATCAGGACAGATTCACCCCAGGCTCAGCCCCTGACAGTGGCCCCAGATGCCCCACTCCAGCTTCTCCAGCCCTGTACGCTTCCCTGTGACTTTGTCAACAACTGGGGGCTGGGGAGCAGGGGCTGGGGGTTTTGTGCCAGGTCTACTGCCCGTCTCCCCACAACCTCATACTGTCCCTTCCCTGACTTGAAATAACACATAGGCTGGATATGCATGGTTATAGTTAGAATATAAATGACAAAATATTGCACAAATTAGCATATACATAAATACACACACACACATACCCATATGTATATTACGTGACCTGCACAGACATCCAAGGTGACAGAGCACAGGAGAGCTGTGGAGCCTCCTCAGGAGGAACCAGGGAAAGAGTCACAGCAGTGCTGTCACCTGACCCCAGAGATGAGCAGTGCTGTCATCTGACATGGAGGTGTCAAGGGAGAAAGTGCTCTGAGCTGAGTGAGGCGAGTTCAGCCCAGGGAGCTGGGCTGAGCCGCTCAGGCAGTCCCTGGGCTCAGGCACAGGCAGCAGGGGCCGGGAGCTCTGAGCCGGCAGACCAGGGCCTTGAGGGTCGGGTGTCAACACTTGGCTCAGGTCGGGAGGGTAACGGGCCCTGGGGAGAGACATGGTGAGTTGGTTGTATTTATTGGATCCTGTTCCCTCAGGAATTCCAGTTCAGATGCTCCAGAATCATATTCTGCCTGTCTCTGAGGGAAGACAGCCCATGTTTATTCTCTCTCACCCCACTTCACAGCCTGCTGGTCTCTCCCTCCGCTGACCCAACACCACCATCACCTGTCCCTGCCCGCAACACTACTGCTGTCGTTTTTTGGAGTTCAGAGTTCAGGGATTTACTCTGGGAAAGGCTTCGCCAGAGCTCCCCTTTCCCTGGCACGTGGTAAGTTTCTTCACGAGACAGACTCAGTTATATTTAAGGAGGAAGTTTATTAGAAAGAGACAAGACACTAAAGGACACTTGCATAGGCAAAGGCGGCGGGCAGGAAGAGCCGTAAAGAGACAGGTCTGCAGAAAGAGAGACATGCATGGTTGCAGGCGGGTAGCCTTAGGAGAGTGGCTTCCCCCGAGGGAGGTCAGTTCAGAGGAGTCCCGGCATGGTAAAGGTCACAGAGGGCAGGAGGCTGCTGCCCTGCAGAGGGAGAGAGCGGGTGGGAAGAAGCACCTGCATAGTCACAGGTGGGCAATGGAGCAGCCGCCCAGTGCTGGTGCAGAGATGCCCTGATACAGACAGCCTCTCCCCGGGAGGGGCTCACTCCTTGGGAGCCTGGGTTTGTTGACTTTGAACAGAATCTGAGAGGACCTGAGATTCCCAAATGAGCTTTATCACCCTGTTCTTATCTTTTACCTTTGGGTCTGAGCTTCAGACACAGCCCCAGCAGTCTGTTATCTGCTGGGACCTCCCTCGGACATCCCCACATCAACATCCTCCCATCCCGGGCAACTGTGGTTTCCCGGACATGTGCACCTGCGGACCTTGATTTTATAGCTGTGTCAAGGATTTTGATTTTTACCATCTGGTCAGCTGTGTTAATTGCTACGCTAGCCCCTTCAACCCATCCTCCTTGTGTGAATCAGTCTTGTGATGCCTCCCGCTGCCTTTCTCCATCACTACCACTAGGTGAAAGGGCCAGACCGATGGACAAGATCCAGGAGCAGAAACCCAGTGTACCCTCTCCAGCCCTGACCTTTCCCCACAAGGCCAGATTCCACGAGAGGTCAAGCCCAGAACCCAGGACTGGTGCTGCTCACAGGGAGGGGCTTCTCCCCTAGGCCCCCAGCCTCCTCTCCTCACAGGCACCTGCACCCCAGCGCCACTGCTGCACCCCACCCCCACACCCCAGACCTCCCTGAAGCTCAGCTTGCTCCTGCCCAGCCCTGAGCAGCAGCTCCTAACTGCATGGCCTTGGGGCTCTCAGGTGACACATTCTGTGGCCTGTGGCCCTGGAGTACCCCCTGCTCACACAGGCAGCCCTGTCCTGGACATCTGGTCCTCAGAAGCCCCCAGGCTCTCAAGCTGTACCTGAATTTCCTGCCCCTCCCTGGCCCACTCACCCTGCAATCTCAGATCCACTCTGAACGTGCAGTCTGGCTGAGGCTCCCCAGGCCTCCCCGTCCTAGGAGACATGGCCAGGCTCTGGCTCACAGCCTCAGGATTTTCTTCCCATTACAGGTTGGGGGCACCTGAGACAACTCAGCCTGAGGCTGCATCTCCCCTTCAGCCTGATCTATCAGTGTCACCACCCCCCACCTGGAACTCAACTGTTGCATTTAATATTTTGCAATGTAATCAATTGCATAGTTCTTTTACTGAGCCTTAGGGGCTGGGACACCTCACCCAGTGTGGTCAGTCAGGGGCCACAGCTGCCCTGAGAGTGACCAGTACCCTCTCCCACGTGGTCAGGGGATCAGCTCATCTCCCTCCCGCATGATCCACAGAACCCAGGAATGCCATGGGAAGCTGACATGGTGCTGGCCAGGGGTGACCCATAGGACACCACTGGGAGACAGCTCTGGAGGAGGCTTGAGGGGCCTCAGGATGAACAGAAGTTCATGGACACAGACACATGAGGAGGCTCTCTGCACAAAGTGAAGTCAGGTGATCGCAGAGTAGGACACAATAAATGTCACCTCCCACAGTTCCCATAAGGCAGATGTCTCAAATTGTGAAGAAAATCATCGTAAACAAACTCAAATTAGTCACAAAAATAGTGACCTTGTGAATAGCCCACCACATGCTCAGAATGTCCCATTCAAAGTATCCCCACAACCAAGTACTGTCATATCTGCCCCAAACACTCGCCCACAAGTCTCCAGAGCCTCACCTTTAGGGGAAGAGAGTCATCTCAGAGCCTGGGGACGGTCACTGCCTGGAGGAGAAAACACAGACCCTGCTCAGAGCCAAGAGAGCTGAAAGGAGAGAACTGGGTACGTGACCCCCCCCCCCCATGGGTTCCCATCTCTTCCCAAGGGCCTAGCGGTGGAGCTTCTCCTGTCCATATTCACCTGCAGCCCCAGTACAGCTCCCTCTGATTCTACCTGTGGGGAGAAACCACCTTGGGAGAGTCAGTGACATGACTGAGTCATAGGATCCTAAAAGAACTGCCTGGTTCAAAAAAACAGGAATTTTCCAGAACTGTGGCTACAGCCCCAGGATCAGGAAACAAGAGGAAAGTCCATGCAGGGGGACGGGACCAACCCCCTCCTGGATCTTCAGCAGGACCCTCTGCCTGTGCCTGCTGGGAAGCAGGTCCATCACCAGATCCAACAAGGGATAAACCTGTCCGCCATTGTCACTTTTGCTTTCATGAGGAGTAAGTGTTAGCAAACAGGACCCCAGGCCGGCAAGCACAGGTGTGTGGACAGGACTTCCCACTGACCAGGCAACACAAACCACTCTCTGGGCATGAAACCCACAGCAGGACAAGAAACCTCATCCCCCACTCCCTTCCCTACCTGAGCTTTTCTTCCTCCACATCACAGCCCCAGCCACTGCAGCCCCAGCGAGCACAGCTCCAAGGAGAACCAGGCCAGCAATGAGGCCCCCGGAGGGGGTGGAGGGCTGAGGAGGGGGCTCTGGATGGGAAGGGGAGGAGAGACCATGAGCCCCAGGCCTCACCCTGACCCTCTGAAGGTCCCCAGAATTGTCCCCAACCCCCCTGAGAATAGCGCCTGTGCCCACCTCCCCTCCTTACCCCATCTCAGGACTCGGGGCTCCGGAAGCCCCACATGCTGCACATGGCACGTGTATCTCTGCTCCTCTCCAGAAGGCACCACCACAGCTGCCCACTTCTGGAAGGTTCCGTCCCCCCCAGGCCTGGTGTCCACCAGCTCTGTGTCCTGGGTCAGGTCCTCCCCATCTCGCTGCCAGGTCAGGGTGATCTCCGCAGGGTAGAAGCCCAGGGCCCAGCACCTCAGGGTGACCTCATCCTGAGCGGTGGGGTGGTGGGTCACCTGTGTCTTTGGGGGGTCTGAGAAGGGTCAGAAATACAGCGACTTCATACCTGTTTTGGGCCACTGAAGTAGCGCCCATAAGAATGGTGAGGGAAGATGAGAGAACCACGATCAGCTATTTCAGGGACGGGTCCCTCCTTCATCCCCAGAGACTGGATCCCTTCAGTGTCCAGACAGAAAGGTGGGCTCCTGGGCAAGTCAGACCACCCTGTTAGCCCTCATACCTGCCCGCTGCAGCGTCTCATTCCCAGTCTCCAGGTATCTGCGCAACCCCTCCACACACTCCCCCTCCAGGTAGTCCCTGAAGCGTTCTGCAGTTCCTGCCTCCTCCCACTTGCGCCTGGTCATCTGAGCTGCCATCTCCGCCAAGGTCCAGGAGCGTAGGTCCCAGGTCAGGGCGATGTAATCGGCGCCATCATAGGCAAACTGACTGTACCCGTGGAGGAGGCGCCCGTCTGGCCCCAGGTCGCAGCCACACATCCACTGGAAGGTGTGAGACCCTGTCCCCGCCC